AGAAAGATGGAGAACGCGTAGAGAGGTGGCCAGGTAGACGCCATAGTTATTTATTTTCCCGCGGCTGATTATAATATTACGCAAGCCGGCGGTATACGCTCGCGTAATGCGGATGCAAATGCGACAGAGACGAGTTATGCCGAGTCGACTCGGCGAAATCTTCGGCCCAGAGCCGTATTTTATTCATACACCGCGCGCGCACACCTGCCTGCGTTTATGGATATTCGCACACGTTTGTGTGCGACTGGCGTGCATCATTGAGCGTATGTTGCGTGTCATCATCTACATTTCTAAATAAAAAGAGTTGCGATTGCGCCGTATGATTAATATCCAATCGGAGTACTCGCGATACAAATGCAATTTTTATGTATTTACACGTGAAAATAATAACGCGGTAAAGTGCGGTGTGTGTGTGCGCGCGCGCGCCTCACGTCGATTCTAAACAAGGAAGCTGCCATTAAAATATTCTAGTCGCGCGATGCGCATGCAAAGCGATCTTTAATCTGGCGAATAAACACATTATTCTTACTTGCATTACTTACGAGCGACGGTGCAATCGTCGCGCACTGCTTATTCCTGGCGCATATATGCCGGGCGCGGATGTAGGTGCACACATATACACACACGCATTCACGCATTCGGGCAGGCACGGCCGTGCGCAAGATGCGTTTATATAACGCGTGCAGCAAAGACACGTGAACACGGCGACACGGACGAGGGAACCCCTTCGCGCTGTGTTTCGCATAACGACATATTATTTATATAAGCGACGTTGTCTCGACAAATCGTTCTACTCTCGCAAATTACCCGGAATATAGACGGGCGTAAGTAATAGCTATTCAGCGTAGCGGCAGAACGGAACTTGCGGCAAAATTCCGCGTGGTATTTTCAACAAATTCTCGCAGATTTCGATATAACTTGGTATCTGCTGTATTAAAAATACTCGGAAACAATAAATATATGGCAAAGACATTTGCGTCTAGTGATTAAAACGGATAAATGAAATCGCGTACTTGAGAAATCGTTTCAAGTAAATTTAAATGCCACCGATTTAATTCCGAACAAAGGATTTTAAAATATATTCCTTAACCGCACTGTTTTTTTGAAGAATTCTCACCATTTTACCTGCCGACGTCCAATCTGCCGTTTGTATCGTCGGAACCGCCACTTCTCGGAAAAATATCTTGAGGGCCGGAAATAAAATTTGCGCCGAAACGCGTCGTAATGTGGGGAGGGCGTAAAAATATTCCGATTACATTGCTAAACTCTTTAGAGCGAGCCCAGGTAAAAAACTCGGCGGAGCGGAAGAGAGACGGATAGGTAGATAGATAGACAGATAGGACGGGCGGTTTATTATGTTCCGGGTGGGAACCCACGAGAACAATATACTCGGAATATACACGTAAGTGGTGTAAAATGACGGGCCGGAAAATTCGAAAATAACGGAAATGCAAATATAGAAAGAACACCGAATCCAATTTGGCGACGATGCAATTAAGATGCGGAAAACAAATGAACGCAAGTAACGGTCGCGCAGAAAAAAAGTGGAGAGGGAAGCGAATTTTATTATAGACGGAAGGAGGGAGGAGGAGAGAGGAAGCACGGCGGAGAGAGAAGTTTATTTAGCGAAATAGGGAGAAAGGGAGCCGGGAAGGTGGAGGAAGGACGCGAAGCGCGCGCGGCAGAGACGCGACGGCCGAGCGCGTTTTAAGCGTCGTCGATCAATTAAATTCTTAATAAAAGGACTTCGTAACCAGATTTCGCTTACGAGATAATAATGCGCATTACGGCAGCTCGGACGCGTGAGACGACTCGTATGCACGCACGCAGGCATGCATATATTTGAACACGCGTAACGCTCGCGAGTGCTTCGTTCGCTTCACATGTATACGCGCGCGGGGTGTCCCGGCCGGAAGCGTGCGCGGCCTCGCGCCAGCGTAACGTTATTTTCTAATTTCCCATTCATGGGCTACCGTTTAGTTTCGATTTGCCGCTTCGTTACGACGCCGAGAGATTTACACGGTCAGATAGGATTGTTGCATGCCGCCACCTTCCCCACCACCACCCCCCTCCTCCTCATCCTTCGCCGCGTTTTATATAACCATCTTTCGTCACCGCGCCGCGCCGCGCGATCTCCCCCGGATATCTCACTCCGCGATAATCTTTTCTTTCTGCCTTTTTTCCTGCGTTTCTTTTCGTTTTTTTTCTTTTTTTTCGTTTGTCCGCGCCGCTCTTTCCTGGAAGATAATGCTCGGCCGCGCACTTTGCATTTCAAATGCGAGAGAGCCGGACGGACTGGGGATCGATCGCGAATCGCGAACTGTACCAGCTAACAACGCTAAAAAGAGAATAATTCCGACGGCGATGCCGACCGATTAGACTAGCGGCAGTAGGTGCGACGCGTCGCGGCGCGTGAGACGTGGTGGACCGCACCTCGCGTTGTATCTACGTACGATGTACGTAGTCGAAAACACAAGATTGCGATCGTGTAATTAATCGTCGAAGACATAGGCGTTCCTATATTTTTACTTCCTTTCCTTTTTCCATTCTAAAAACAGAGCAGATTTCTTCTCTGCGAACGTAAGGGATATATATATATATATAAATGATTATTATAATAACGTTATTATAACGAAACTCGTTCTCCTTGAATATTTAATTTTTAACGTCGGCGGCCGACCTCCCGAGAATTTTCTGGATTCAGCCCTGATATAATTTAAAGTACGAAGTGCAGCTCGCTAATTTAAAATAACGAGCCGCGGAAATCTGCGTCGCGCCGTCCGCGACGCAGCCGTCCGCATTTTTCGCGAGGGCGATCCTTCTTCGCATGTCCTTCGAAGCGGACCGGGGAATCGCCATCTGCTGTTGCGGGTAACCGATTTTTATTGGAGCTCGATAAGAGCGAAGGGAGAAAATTTTATCGTGTCTCCGGAGATCAACGAAACGAACGCGCGGTGAAAGAAGAGCGCGGAAGGATGGAACAAAGGGTTTATACAGGGTGCGCTTAAAAAGCGGAAAAATTTTTATTAAAAATGAATCGATCGCATTTGTGAAACTACATGACTAACGGAAGGCTGGTTTTGAGACAAAACAGAAAAGACTGTCAAGAAATACCTTTGCTACCTCCGTAACATTTTTACAGGTGAACCATGAATAGATGTTTTTTTATAGAGCACCATTTTTCTATTATTACGATTTATTTTTCTCTATCAGCTTGTTTTAATTTTCGAATTTACGTTGCTTTTATCTAATACTGAAAGCGTGTAAACATTAATACATAGTACGATCGCACTGGTTACACATTAAACCATTCAACCGTTGGAATTTATAATTTTTTATTGAATTACATTCGAGGGGAATGAGTGTAAATACATGCGAAATTATATTTGACAATTAATTTTCAGTAGACTTTCCTTTTGCGAGAGAAATTTAGTATTTTATTAATTTGCGAGTTATTTAACGTTAGAAATTGGCAAACTCCACTCGGAATTTTGAAGAAAAAATTCTTCGCCAATGATACTATCGATTCCCACCTTTTCAGGCGCACCCTGTATACATTTGTCGAGAACGGGAGGAGGCAGGGAATAGAGACTGTAGAAAAGGGTAGGGTGGCGGGGGAAGGGGGGAGGGAGCAAGGCGGAGAAAAATGGAGAAAAAGGTCGAGAGCGTGGTACGCCGTGCCCAACGAGTAATAAGTTAGTAATAATATTTTCACAATATCTCTCCTGGATTGGATGTTATTTCATTATATTTTATTGCCTCTTACTATTACTCTTGCCAGTGCGGAAACCTCCCTCTGCCCACCCCCGTCTCTCTCCGTCCTCCCGCCACCCACTCTTCCCGCCCCCCCTCTTCCGTCCCTCTTCGACCACCGCCGGCATCCCGCTCTGTTTTATTATCTCGAGCCTCTCTCCGCGCCGAGGGAATTCACTCGCGGAACTCATTATTGAGGGGTTTATTCTGCTGTAACCGTTGCTCGCCACTCGCCTGTCCCCCTTCTTTCTTCTCCCCCGGCCCCTTCTTCATTCGTTTCCTCCTTTTCGGTGCCGGGCAAACATCAAACAAATCGCTCACGAGCTGCATGCAAGTTGTCAACGCGGCGATTGCGACTCGTCCTTCTCCCAAGTTTCGTATTCCTCCTGTACACTTGGAATATGACAAATAGAAATCTATATAAAATATATTGTAATTTAAGAACATCAGAATGTACATAAAGACATGGAAGAAAAATGTTAGCCCTCGCAATAATACCATCGTTGTTTCGCGCGTGGGAGCAAAAGACACGAGCCGCGACGGCTGAAATCACCCAGCCCTTCGCCTGACTGGAAAAAGTCGGGTGGGAAAAGTCAGCCGACCGATAAATCATTCTCTTACTTTACTGCCCGTGCAATCTTCGCCGCCGCAGCTATGTATTTCTGCGGATTAACGTGTCTAAGGGAGCGCGAAGGGTGGCTTGCGTTTGCAGATGGGAGTCACTTTCGATCTTTAACCTTAAACGACGTATACATACATCATTATTTGTTATTGATTACCATAAAAATCAGAAATTTTGACAGCACGTCGTGATTGTAATATATTTCTATTTTGTTTGTACGAGTACTTATTGTCTGCTTGAGAGATTTATAGTATTACAAATATCCTTATACTCTCCATGTGCAAAGAGTATAAATCAATGAAAGAAGGCGGCCGTAATGCCGACGTAAGTCAAGATTTTACAATGCGATGAATATATTATTTTCTCGGTACTATTATCAATTATTATAATTATTGTGAATTGTGAAAACGTTTTGTCTGCCATTGTAGAATTAATTTTACTAGACATTAATATAATAACTTAAGTTACAAGTATTACAATTGCGTAATAAAATTATTAATTTATTTTAAATATTTGCGAGATTATTCACTAATTTATTTGACTTGGAGCTAATCCGGTCCGCCGAGCCGTCTCTCGTCGCTCACTTTTCTCAATTGTGTTTTTTTTTCCCTCTGTTTCGTGACAGGCCGGAGGACCGTGGGGAAGCATCGACGCGCAGATGGACTTCGACGAGAGCAATGTACCCCGCATGGAAAAAGCGCAGCCTCTACTGCGAGCGGTATCGACAGCGTACGAAGACATGTAACGTACAGGTGAGTTGTACCACTCGTGCATTACACGGCCGGGCGCACGTTGCAATTTCATGCGGAAAGTTTCGCCTTGATTCCACCTACGTAACGAGCGGCCGCGGCGTACCCCCTCATCGCCGGCTTCGATTTTCTCCTCCGCTTAAGGAAGCTCCGTTTTGAAAGCGAGAAACGACTCGCGTTACACGGACGAACAATGCGGGCTGAGAGAGCAAAAAAAAAAAAAAAAGAGCGCGCTCGATATATTGTACAGGGTGTCTCGGGTATACTCTTTCCTCGTCAGCCAATTGTATTATATTCTAAATTTAGAATTCAGTTTAGCTTTCATGGAAAGTTCACGGGAAATTATCGCGCTTAGCAATTTTTAGAAATTTATATTATAAAATATCTTATAACAAATGCGTTTCTTTCAAATTATATTTCTATTGAAGCCACATTTGCTGAAAATTAATAGAAAAATATGAATCATCGTGCAATCTCATCCGTAATTAAGTTGTACATTATAAATACTAAATTATCATACAATCTTATGCTACATTATTTGCTACAATTGTACCTTGTAATCTGCGTCACATTTTTATGGACGAAGAATTAAGCAAGTTATCATTCGCAATTATCATTTCCTTATCTTAAAGATAAGTCTTCATTATATATTTATACTGGTGAAGCTTGATTTACCAGAATTCTGACTTCGCTGTTCTATTCGTGGTCCAAAAGGAACGACGAACACCCTGTATAAATATCGGCGTAAGCGTCGGCGTGTATTTGCGCGATATATTGCTCGTCGCGGCAGTCATGTGCACAAACTCGGCGACAGAAATAGCGAGTGTTGTCACCGAGAAATTGCGGCGGCCGATCATAAAAGTATTACATCAGCGGTCTGTAATGCTGCGCTCGTGCGCGCGCTCGCGCTCGCGCGTTCACTCTCGTGCGCGTATATTATATGCGTTGCGTTATTACTGCAATGAGGCGCAGTGACACAATGTCGATTTGTCGCGACGACGATGCGATCAAACGCGCACACGTCGCGAGCGAGCGTAATCGCCTAAATAACCACCGGTTGCCTTGTTTCGCGCTCTCTCTCTTTCTCTCCCCCTTTCTCTCTCTCTCTCTCTCTCTCTCTCTCTTTTTTCTGTTCTGCTTTCTACGAGCACACGTCAAGTCGGTCCAGCAGAGAAAATGCACCGTTGTGTCTCGATTGGAACGATTGCGCACTGCATTGAGACAGAGCGAATTTCTTTCCGAGTCTGTCACGGTGCGTCCGTTGCAATCTAAATCAGAAGTAATAAGCATCGTAAGGTTTCTCTGTGATACAGTTTGTTTGAGTTATCAACTGATTTTTAATTAAATAGAAAATTCTGCACAAACTTGTAATTTTCACCGTTGACTAATAAGTGATATTACGTTATCAAATTTCTCACTCGAATTTTATCTTATCTAACTAAACAATATCTGTTTCGATCGTAAAGTATTGTTTACAATTCATAAAACACTATTTTAAATACCTAAGATGGAGAATAGATGAACGGGAGAGTAAATATTGTCTTTTTATTTCGCGGAGATATAATAAGTAGAACATTGTCGAAAGGGGAAATAACGGTCTTGCGAACGACGATGCCTGACGAACGGCGCGCGGGGGCAGAGGGGACGTGTATTAATATAAGCTTGGCGTGACTAATACAACAATTTATCCAGCCGCGGGCATTTAAATAGTTATGACCTAGGTCGCCGGCAACGAGGCGACGAGCGGCGATTTCGTCACGCGCTAACTCGCGCGAATTGAATTCGCCTCGGCGCTTTCGTGAATTAACTCCCGCGTCGCCCACGCACTCCTCACCGATCATTGTCTGTCTCTGTTTTGTTTTTTTCCCGCGCGGTCCAATATTCTTTTCAATCGCTTGTCAAAACCACTGCCGTTACAACTTTACGAGAAACATTATTGACGGTTTCGCGGAATAAGCTCCGCTAGATTTTCAACGCGATAATTATGATAATAATGGCGACAGGCTAAATAAGATTGAAGCGTAAATGAGGTTAAAATTACTGCGGGCCGTTCGTGTAAACATTGGTTAAAGTTAACTGATTATCCGACCCTTCCCACAGCTGGAACTATATAATGGAACATAGAATTGATTAAACATCAGTTAAACCAATATTTATGAAAATTGCTCTGTGTAAAATTCACATGTTCGATGAATGATAAATCAAGATCGGTTACCTTGTAGCGTAGGATACGCGCGATTCCCGTGTGTGTTGATCGTAAAACGCGACGAAAATTTTGAGTGCAATCGAAAATTTGATTCATTATTTTTCCGCTATTTTTCGGCGTTCTACCGAAGGAAGCCCGCAGCGACAATCGGACTGCACCCTTCTGTTTTGCGCCCGCGGGTGTCCACCCTCGGCGCAGGACGTTCCGGCACTCCAGCCCTCTTTTTAATTGTTATATTTATAAGGGGTGGTCTCGGCGCCGCACACATGACGGTTCCTCGGCGTCGGGGCTGGAGAACTCGGTTGTTTTTGGACATAGGTACTGGATGAACGTGCCCTTCTTTTCACCCTTCTGCTCTTTCTCTTTCGTAAATCGATACTTGCCGTGAAACTCGGATTCCTCATACGCTTGGAATGACAAAGAGCAGAGGTGAGGAGCTTCAAAAATATTTCAATTTCTATATTTTGCGCGTTTGTTATAAAACATATTTTCAGGAAAAAAAGAGAGTAAAGATTTTAATAAGTTTTGATTGAAATTTTTTAAATTAAAAAATTTTAATTTAATTTAAATTCTATATTTTAAATTTTTCTCTTGTCGAATCGATACTTGCCGTGAAACTCGAATTCCTCGAACGTTTGGCGTAACGAAGGGCAGAGGTGAGGGGCTTCGAAAATATTTCAATTTCTATATTTTTCACATTTGTTATAAAACATATTTTCGGGAAAAAAGTTAAAGATTTCAATAAATTTTGTTAAAAATTCCAAAATTTTTTATATTTTAATTTAATTTAAATTCCAAATTAAAAATTTAATATCTCTCTAGCTGTTCTGCAAAATTTTTATACTCAATATTTTCAATATATTTACATATAAAGTATTATATCTCTACGAGCTCTCAAACATTTAATAGAAATTTGACAAATTTTGAACAAATTTTCGACTTGTCCGTTACAACGCCGCGACACTCTTGCTAGCGCCGCTTTCACCTCTTGCGGTATCTCGCGACGCGAGCCGCACCAACATCCGTACGTCCGTACTGTCCGGTCAACTGATCCGGTCAAGCGGTAGCAGGAGACCACGCGGCGACACTGGTGAACGCTGGCAAGATAGCGCGGATAGACGAGGCAAGCGAGCGAGGCGGAGTGGGTGGGCGCAGGAGGAGAGGAAGGAACGGGCGGATGGGGCGAATATTGGACAACTAATTACCTAATCACTCATTATCCACCGCGGACTCCGGGCGCCGATAGTTCGGCGCGCCAGGTACGTAGATAGAGGTGGAACGGGCTTGCCCGGAGGGCCATTGTGATACACGAAGCAGAATCATGCACGATCGTATATTATCGATGAGAGGACGGGGGGGATGAAGGGTAGGATGGCAGCGGCCATCCCTAAAATCCGCCCCCTTTCCCTCCCGATTTCTCTCTATCCTCCGCCATACGAGTGCCGGGGACCTCGCGCGCACGTTTAACGTTAGCACGGAATCGGAGCCAATGACGGGGCGGAATCGCGATGCGGAAACGACGCTTCCTTTCTCGCACCTCGGCGAGCCTGCCCCGGCATTACCGCGCCCTCCTCGTCGCACCCTCGGCGCTTTCCGCTCGCCTCCGTCCCGCGCGTCGCCGTCCTCTCGCTCGCTCGCTCGCTCGCTCCATCTTCTTCGATTACCGCTATTTTCGGCCGCCGGTGACGTCCGGAATAGATAACGGTTATCACTAATGCATCGAGCCGCTTCTAATACGGTTCCGGAGTAGTAGTCTGCCACCCATCGTGCCGCATTCTCCGACAATGTTCCGAGAGTACATTGAAGCAGATGGAGAAACGAAACATATGTGGTAGTCAAATTTTTTCAATTGCAACTGATTGCAAGAATCTGAAAACCTTCGCGAATTAAACTTGGAGCTGTAAATAGATGAAAGAAACTTATTTTTCGTTTCGTTAAAGTTTTATTTTTAAGTGATTGATTGCAAAAATGCTGAAAAAATGCAGTAAATTTTTTTTAAGAATACTATTTATTCTTTAAGAATACTATTTGAGAATTTCGAAAGAACGTGAAAAGAAAAAAGAAAAGAGGAAAACGCGGCACATATATGGAAATTTATCAATACGACTCGTATTTCTAACACATTCCGTCTATTTCCACATCTGTCATATTAGAAGGTAATAGCTCTTCGTTAAAAATTCAGCCCCCTCCTTCCTTCTGATATCCCTTTCAAAAATAGTCTCATTTCGAGTCAGTATCTTTTTCTCTCTCTCCGTCGTTTTTAATTCGATATAGCGTAACGATTCGCCGATCTGTGGCAATTTTCGCGGAGTCGTTTTAAATCGTTTATAACGAGTCATTTAAATCGGCAGCTATCCCTGGCACGAAGAAGATATTAATTGTCCGCTGAACACGCTTCATGCAGATGTAACCGCGGAACTAAAATATATATTCTGTTGCGGCATCATAAGCAGGGCACTAATGAGAAATAAAAATATTCTCTCGCGAATATCACGGGGATAAACTTAGACGACATAACTATGGTTTAATCGAATTTTTCATAGAAAAAAGATTGTTTTCGAGCGCGTTTTCGAATAATCCTTGTTACACAGTCTGTCATAAATATTTTTTTTTAATTGCTCCGCCGAATTTTGATTTCGCTCAGTTTCGTTGCAAATTAATTTATTTACATGGATCTTTTATTCGCGAACTCACCAAAATGCACATTAATTTTATAAATTTGATGTTAAAGAAGAATGCACACCGAATGAATCAACAAGTCTAAGAGAGTGCGAAAGATATCGCGTTGTATATTGCG